ATTGAGCAAATTGGTTATTTCTGGCAATTTATGTAAATGTACAAACTGGCCCTTTGCATTAATCAGTGCCTGAGAAGCAGCTCTGGGTCTCAAACAACCAGCCTCAGTCCTGGGTCTACAGCCTCAGTCCTGGGTCTACAGCCTCAGTCCTGGGTCTACAGCCTCAGTCCTGGGTCTACAGCCTCAGTCCTGGGTCCACAGCCTCAGTCCTGGGTCTACAGCCTCAGTCCTGGGTCCACAGCCTCAGTCCTGGGTCTACAGCCTCAGTCCTGGGTCTACAGCCTCAGTCCTGGGTCTACAGCCTCAGTCCTGGGTCCACAGCCTCAGTCCTGGGTCTACAGCCTCAGTCCTGGGTCCACAGCCTCAGTCCTGGGTCTACAGCCTCAGTCCTGGGTCCACAGCCTCAGTCCTGGGTCTACAGCCTCAGTCCTGGGTCTACAGCCTCAGTCCTGGGTCTACAGCCTCAGTCCTGGGTCTACAGCCTCAGTCCTGGGTCTACAGCCTCAGTCCTGGGTCTACAGCCTCAGTCCTGGGTCTACAGCCTCAGTCCTGGGTCCACAGCCTCAGTCCTGGGTCTACAGCCTCAGTCCTGGGTCCACAGCCTCAGTCCTGGGTCTACAGCCTCAGTCCTGGGTCTACAGCCTCAGTCCTGGGTCTACAGCCTCAGTCCTGGGTCTACAGCCTCAGTCCTGGGTCCACAGCCTCAGTCCTGGGTCTACAGCCTCAGTCCTGGGTCCACAGCCTCAGTCCTAGGTCCACAGTCCATATGCTCCGCACCGTTCTTTTTATACCCTGGGAAAACACACCTAATATAAACGTTATTATCATTATTATTATTGTTATTATTATCCATTCATCCATCCATTTTCTTCCGCTTCATCCGTTGCCGGGTCGCGGGGGCAGCAGTCTAAGCAGAGACGCCCAGACTTCCCTATCCACACACACTTCCTCCAGCTCGTCCGGGGGGACCCCAAGGCGTTCCCAGGCCAGCTGAGAGACATAGTCCCTCCAGTGTGTCCTGGGTCTTCCCCGGGGCCTCCTCCCGGTGGGACGTGCCCGGAACACCTCCCCAGGGAGGCGTCCAGGAGGCATCCTGAACAGATGCCCGAGCCACCTCAACTGGTTCCTCTCGACGTGGAGAAGCAGCGGCTCTACTCCGAGCTCCTCCCGTGTGACCAAGCTCCTCACCCTATCTCTAAGGGAGCAGCGGCTCTACTCCGAGCTCCTCACCCTATCTCTAAGGGAGCAGCCACTCTGCGGAGGAAGCTCATTTCGACCGCTTGTATCCGCGATCTCGTTCTTTCGGTCATTACCCAAAGCTCATGACCATAGGTGAGGGAGGGAACGAAGCTTGACCGATAAATTGAGAGCTTTGCCTTTCGGCTCAGCTCCCTCTTCACCACAACGGTCCGATACAGCTCTGACTGCAGACGCTGCTCCCTCTTCACCACAACGGTCCGATACAGCTCTGACTGCAGACGCTGCTCCCTCTTCATCACAACAGTCTCATACAGCTCTGACTGCAGACGCTGCTCCCTCTTCACCACAATGGTCCGATACAGCTCTGACTGCAGACGCTGCTCCCTCTTCACCACAATGGTCCGACACAGCTCTGACTGCAGACGCTGCTCCCTCTTCACCACAATGGTCCGATACAGCTCTGACTGCAGACGCTGCTCCCTCTTCACCACAACGGTCCGATACAGCTCTGACTGCAGACGCTGCTCCCTCTTCAACACAACTGTCCGATACAGCTCTGACTGCAGACGCTGCTCCCTCTTCACCACAACGGTCCGATACAGCTCTGACTGCAGACGCTGCTCCCTCTTCACCACAACGGTCCGATACAGCTCTGACTGCAGACGCTGCTCCCTCTTCACCACAACGGTCCGATACAGCTCTGACTGCAGACGCTGCTCCCTCTTTACCACAACGGTCCGATACAGCTCTGACTGCAGACGCTGCTCCCTCTTCACCACAACGGTCCGATACAGCTCTGACTGCAGACGCTGCTCCCTCTTCACCACAACGGTCCGATATAGCTCTGACTGCAGACGCTGCTCCCTCTTCACCACGACTGTCCGATACAGCTCTGACTGCAGACGCTGCTCCCTCTTCACCACAACGGTCCGATACAGCTCTGACTGCAGACGCTGCTCCCTCTTCACCACAACGGTCCGATACAGCTCTGACTGCAGACGCTGCTCCCTGTTCACCACAACGGTCCGATACAGCTCTGACTGCAGACGCTGCTCCCTCTTTACCACAACGGTCCGATACAGCTCTGACTGCAGACGCTGCTCCCTCTTTACCACAACGGTCCGATATAGCTCTGACTGCAGACGCTGCTCCCTCTTCACCACAACGGTCCGATACAGCTCTGACTGCAGACGCTGCTCCCTGTTCACCACAACGGTCCGATACAGCTCTGACTGCAGACGCTGCTCCCTCTTCACCACAACGGTCCGATACAGCTCTGACTGCAGACGCTGCTCCCTCTTCAACACAACTGTCCGATACAGCTCTGACTGCAGACGCTGCTCCCTCTTCACCACAACAGTCCGATATAGCTCTGACTGCAGACGCTGCTCCCTCTTCAACACAACTGTCCGATACAGCTCTGACTGCAGACGCTGCTCCCTCTTCACCACAACGGTCCGATACAGCTCTGACTGCAGACGCTGCTCCCTCTTCACCACAACGGTCCGATACAGCTCTGACTGCAGACGCTGCTCCCTCTTCACCACAACGGTCCGATACAGCTCTGACTGCAGACGCTGCTCCCTCTTCACCACAACGGTCCGATATAGCTCTGACTGCAGACGCTGCTCCCTCTTCACCACAACGGTCCGATATAGCTCTGACTGCAGACGCTGCTCCCTCTTCACCACGACTGTCCGATACAGCTCTGACTGCAGACGCTGCTCCCTCTTTACCACAACGGTCCGATACAGCTCTGACTGCAGACGCTGCTCCCTCTTCACCACAACGGTCCGATATAGCTCTGACTGCAGACGCTGCTCCCTCTTCACCACGACTGTCCGATACAGCTCTGACTGCAGACGCTGCTCCCTCTTTACCACAACGGTCCGATACAGCTCTGACTGCAGACGCTGCTCCCTCTTTACCACAACGGTCCGATACAGCTCTGACTGCAGACGCTGCTCCCTCTTTACCACAACGGTCCGATACAGCGACCGCATCACTGCGCACGCTGCACCGATCCGCCTGTCAATCTCACGCTCCATCCTCCCCTCACTCGTGAACAAGACCCCGAGATACTTGAACTCCTCCACTTGAGGAAGGACCTCTCCACCCACCTGCAGAGGGCAAGGCACCTTTTTCCGGTCGAGCACCATGGCCTCAGATTTGGAGGTGCTGATTCTCATCCCAGCCGCTTCACACTCGGCTGCAAACCGCCCCAGTGTATGTTGCAGGTCCTGGTTCGTTGGAGCCAACAGGACAACATCGTCTGCAAACAGCAGAGATGAAATCCTGTGGTCTCTGAACCGGACCCCCTCCGGCCCCTGGCTGCGTCTAGAAATTTTGTCCATAAAGACAGTGAACCGAACCGGTGACAAAGGGCAGCCCTGTCGGAGGCCAACATTCACCGGGAACAGGTCTGACTTACTGCCGGCAATGCGAACACAGCTCTGGCTCCGGTCATACAGGGATCGGACGGCCCTCAGCAGAGGACCCCGGACCCCGTACTCCCGGAGGACACCCCAAAGGACACCCCGGGGAACGCGGTCGAACGCCAAATCCACAAAGCACATGTGGACAGGTTGGGCGAACTCCCATGAACCCTCGAGTATCCGATGGAGAGTATAGAGCTGGTCCAGTGTTCCGCGGCCGGGACGAAAACCACACTGCTCCTCCTGAATCCGAGATTCGACCATCGGCCGTAGCCTCCTCTCCAGTACCTTGGAGTAGACCTTACCGGGGAGGCTGAGGAGTGTGATCCCACGATAATTGGAACACACCCTCCGGTCCCCCTTCTTGTAGAGAGGGACCACCACCCCGGTCTGCCACTCCATTGGCACCGCCCCCGATCGCCACGCGATGTTGCAGAGACGTGTCAGCCAAGACAGTCCCACAACATCCAGAGACTTTAGAGTCAGGGCGGATCTCATCCACACCCGGAGCCTTGCCACCATGGAGGCTACCAACCACCTTGGTGACCTCTGCCAGGGAGATGGAAGTATCCGCTCCAACATCCTCAGCCTCTGCCTCCTGGACGGAGGACGTGACGGGGGGATTGAGGAGAACCTCAAAGTATTCCTTCCACCGCCCGATAATATCCCCAGTCGAGGTTAGCAGCTCTCCACCCGCACCGTACATGGTGTTGGCAAAGCACTACTTCCCCCTCCTGAGGCGCCGGATGGTTTGCCAGAATCTCTTCGAGGCCGAACGATAGTCATGCTCCATGGACTCTCCGAACTCCTCCCAGTCCCGGGTTTTTGCCTCTGCAACAGCCCGGGCCGCGGCACGCTTGGCCTGCCGGTACTGGACAGCTGCCTCAGGAGTCCCACGAACCATCATGGCTCGATAGGACTCCTTCTACAGTCTGACGGCATCTCTTACTGCTGGTGTCCACCACCGGGTTCGGGGGTTGCCGCCGGGACCAGGCGCTCGCTTTCCAGCCCGACCCCAGCCCTGGCTCCAGGGTGGGGCCCCGGCTACTCCATGCGACGTCACTGTTGTCCTTATTGTTCTGTCCATGGTTGGCTTCGGACCGGTCTTCGTCTGACTCGTCACCCGAGACCTGTCTGCCATGGGAGACCCTACCAGGGGCATGAAGCCCCAGACAGCATAGCTCCCAGGATCACCCGAGTACTCAAACTCCCCCACCACGTTAAGGTGGAAGTCCAGGGGGGTAATTATTATTATTACTATTATTATTATCATTATTATTTAGAGCATTAATATTAATATAACCATTATCATTATTATTATTATTGTTATTATCATTATTATCATTATTATCATTATTACATTACCTGCCGGGGTGCTGCGCCCTGACGTCCCGGGGCTGGGTCTGGTCCAGTTGGGCCCAGAGTGGGGGCCCTGGTCCTGCTGCAGCCTCAGACTGGTCTCCAGGAGGGTCCGGTCCACTCGGGGGTTCCTCTGGGGGGGCAGGGGCGGCACCTCCACAACACATTCATATTTACACACAGTCCAACAGAGGAGACACAGCCTCAGGGACACTGCAGGTGGAGCCCCCTGCTGGACAAGTCTGGTAGCAGCACTTTAATAACTTCAGCTGAAGTCTGTTCAGTTCTATTCCTCTGCTGTCCCTTTTTCATTCTGTTTCAGGGTGAGGAAACAGAATGGAACAGAATGGTGGCCTCCTCCATTTGCGCCTGCAGACTGTCTTCCCTCCCCGCCTGGGAACGCCTCGGTCCTGGGTCTACAGCCTCAGTCCTGGGTCTACAGCCTCAGTCCTGGGTCTACAGCCTCAGTCCTGGGTCTACAGCCTCAGTCCTGGGTCTCCAGTCTCAGTCCTGGGTCTACAGTCTCAGTCCTGGGTCTACCTGGGTCTCCTGAGCTCAGGGACAGGTACCTTGGGTCCCGCAGACAGGGGGAAGGTGCTGAGGCTGATGGGGGAGAGCGTGAGGCTCTCACAAGGGGCAGACCCGAGCCGATGTCGCGGTGGAGGAGGGGGAGGCAGACGGCCGTCCTCGCTGCTGGAGGTCAGGGACTCTGTGGAAGTCCAGGCGCTGGCCCTTCCCCCGTGCTGAGGCAGACTCCTCCCCCTCCCTGACCTCCGAGCCCCTCGTCGAGCCCCCTGGCCGCTCTCGATCTCCTCCACGACCTTCAGGAAGTCCAAGTCCAGCTGGAAGCCATACGGAGTCTGCACCGAGTAGGACGGCTCTGCATCCACCACGGTAGGGAAGTGGAAGGAGCCCAGTTCTGAGGGCACAAGGCGACAGACAGCCTCAGTCCTGGGTCTACAGCCTCAGTCCTGGGTCTACAGCCTCAGTCCTGGGTCTGCAGCCTCAGTCCTGGATCTACAGCCTCAGTCCTGGATCTACAGCCTCAGTCCTGGGTCTACAGCCTCAGTCCTGGGTCTACAGCCTCAGTCCTGGGTCTACAGCCTCAGTCCTGGGTCTGTGTGTGTTCTCTCACCTGGGAGCTTAGGGTTGACTTGTGTCATCTTTAAGGTTCACAGAAACAGACTCAGAAAAACTCCTGAGAAGAAAAAGACAAAAAGACAGAAATGTGTAGGGTAGAGTAGAGTAGAGTAGAGTGGAGTAGAGTGGAGTAGGGTAGAGTAGAGTAGGGTAGAGTAGGGTAGGGTAGAGTAGAGTAGAGTAGAGTAGAGTAGGGTAGAGTAGGGTAGAGTAAAGTAGGGTAGAGTAGGGTAGGGTAGAGTAGAGTAGAGTAGAGTAGAGTAGGGTAGAGTAGGGTAGAGTAAAGTAGGGTAGAGTAGAGTAGGGTAGAGTAGGGTAGAGTAGAGTAGGGTAGAGTAGGGTAGAGTAGAGTAGGGTAGGGTAGAGTAGGGTAGAGTAGAGTAGGGTAGGGTAGAGTAGGGTAGTAGGTAGAGTAGAGTAGAGTTGGGTAGAGTAGGGTAGAGTAGGGTAGAGTAGAGTAGGGTAGAGTAGGGTAGAGTAGAGTAGAGTAGAGTAGGGTAGAGTAGGGTAGAGTAGAGTAGAGTAGGGTAGAGTAGCGTAGAGTAGAGTAGGGTAGAGTAGGGTAGAGTAGGGTAGAGTAGAGTAGGGTAGGGTAGAGTAGGGTAGAGTAGAGTAGAGTAGGGTAGAGTAGAGTAGGGTAGGGTAGAGTAGGTTAGAGTAGAGTAGAGTTGGGTAGAGTAGGGTAGAGTAGGGTAGAGTAGGGTAGAGTAGAGTAGGGTAGAGTAGGGTAGAGTAGAGTAGAGTAGGGTAGAGTAGGGTAGAGTAGAGTAGGGTAGAGTAGGGTAGAGTAGAGTAGGGTAGAGTAGAGTAGGGTAGGGTAGAGTAAGGGTAGAGTAGGGTAGAGTAGAGTAGGGTAGAGTAGGGTAGGTTAGAGTAGGGTAGGTTAGAGTAGAGTAGGGTAGGGTAGAGTAGTGTAAAGTAGGGTAGGGTAGAGTAGAGTAGGGTAGAGTAGAGTAGGGTAGAGTAGGGTAGAGTAGGGTAGGGTAGAGTAGGGAAGAGTAGAGTAGAGTAGAATAGAGTAGAGTAGAGTAGGGTAGAGTAGAGTAGGGTAGGGTAGAGTAAGGGTAGAGTAGGGTAGAGTAGAGTAGGGTAGGGTAGAGTAAGGGTAGAGTAGGGTAGAGTAGAGTAGGGTAGGGTAGAGTAGGTAAGAGTAGAGTAGAGTAGAGTAGGGTAGAGTAGGGTAGAGTAGGGTAGAGTAGAGTAGGGTAGAGTAGGGTAGAGTAGAGTAGGGTAGAGTAGAGTAGGGTAGAGTAGGGTAAGGGTAGAGTAGGGTAGAGTAGAGTAGTGTAAAGTAGGGTAGGGTAGAGTAGTGTAGAGTAGGGTAGGGTAGAGTAGTGTAGAGTAGAGTAGAGTAGAGTAGTGTAGAGTAGGGTAGGGTAGGGTAGAGTAGAGTTGAAGCAGTGTGTACCTGTGTGTAGCAGTGTGTACCTGTGTTTAGCAGTGTGTACCTGTGTGCAGCAGTGTGTAACTGTGTGCAGCAGTGTGTACCTGTGTGTAGCAGTGTGCACCTGTGTGTAGCAGTGTGTACCTGTGTGCAGCAGTGTGTACCTGTGTGTAACAGTGTGTACCTGTGTGTAACGGGTTGTACCTGTGTGTAACAGTGTGTACCTGTGTGTAGCAGTGTGTACCTGTGTGCAGCAGTGTGTACCTGTGTGTAGGTCACTCATGACTCCAGCTCCTCAGCGTCCTGCAGAGACACAGGTTAATGCATGGACTAGAGGCCACCTGTGGTACTGCAGCCTACACACACATGGACTAGAGGCCACCTGTGGTACTGCAGCCTACACACACATGGACTAGAGGCCACCTGTGGTACTGCAGCCTACACACACATGGACTAGAGGCCACCTGTGGTACTGCAGCCTACATCCACATGGACTAGAGGCCACCTGTGGTACTGCAGCCTACATCCACATGGACTAGAGGCCACCTGTGGTACTGCAGCCTACAACCACATGGACTAGAGGCCACCTGTGGTACTGCAGAACACGTTACAGACTCGTTTTGGAGCAAAGCCAGTTTCTTTGTGTGGCACAGTTAGAGCTGAACCAAACAAGACCAAAATAAAATCATAAATAATCACATTAAAAACATCAGAATCCTTCAGTTGTTGCAGAAACAGATTCATGTGACATCAATAATAGTTTAATCTTATTATTGTATAATCTCTCTCTGGTCTCTCTCTGGTCTCTCTCTGGTCTCTCTCTGGTCTCTCTCTGGTCTCTCTCTGGTCTCTCTCTGGTCTCCCTCTGGCCTCCCTCTGGTCTCCCTCTGGTCTCTCTCTGGTCTCTCTCTGGTCTCTCTCTGGTCTCTCTCTGGTCTCTCTCTGGTCTCTCTCTGGTCTCTCTCTGGTCTCTCTCTGGTCTCCCTCTGGCCTCCCTCTGGTCTCTGAGTACAGTGTGTAGATGACAACACTAAAGCAGATGTCTCAGTGACAGTTGTGGCATGTGTTTGGACGTGCAGTGGCTCCAAACACCCCCCCCCCCCCCCCCCCCCCCTGTCTCCTGTGGGAGATGAGCCACAGACAGACTGACATGAACCAAAACAGAAGCAAAGTCTGAGTCTGAGTCTACATTCCACTGACGAGTCCTGACAGAGACTCAGACCAAGAGACCCAAGACCCAGGACCCAAGACCGAGACCCAGACCAAGACACCCAGGGACCCAGAGACCCAAGACCGAGACCCAAGACCCACAGACCCACAGACCCAGAGACCCAAGACCCACAGATCCAGGACTCAGACTTGGTGTAAATCTGTGAAAAGTGGAAGTTCCTGCAGAAACTTCCTGTTTTTCAAACAAAGACTTCATTTGTCAACGCACCAGAGACACATCCTGTCCTGGTTCCTGTCACCTCTGGTCTCTCTCTGGTCTGTCTCTAGTCTCTCTCTCTGGTCTCACTCTCTCTGGTCTCACTCTCTCTGGTCTCACTCTCTCTGGTCTCACTCTGGTCTCACTCTGGTCTCACTATAGTCTCTCTCTGGTCTCTCTTTGGTCTCTCACTCTGGTCTCTCTCTCTGGTCTCTCACTCTGGTCTCACTCTGGTCTCTCTCTGGTCTCACTATGGTCTATCTCTGGTCTCCCTCTGGTCTCTCTCTGGTCCCTCTCTCTCTGGTCTCTCTCTGGTGTCTCTCTGGTCTCTCTCTGGTGTCTCTCTGGTCTCTCTCTGGTCTCTCTCTGGTCTCTCTCTGGTCTCTCTCTGGTCTCTCTCTGGTCTCCCTCTGGTCTCTCTCTGGTCTCTCTCTGGTCTCCCTCTGGTCTCTCTCTGGTCCCTCTCTCTCTGGTCTCTCTCTGGTCTCTCTCTGGTGTCTCTCTGGTCTCTCTCTGGTCTCTCTCTGGTCTCTCTCTGGTCTCTCTCTGGTCTCTCTCTGGTCTCTCTCTGGTCTCTCTCTGGTCTCTCTCTCTGGTCTCCCTCTGGTCTCTCTCTGGTCCCTCTCTCTCTGGTCTCTCTCTGGTCTCTCTCTGGTGTCTCTCTGGTGTCTCTCTGGTCTCTCTCTGGTCAACCGTCTTAGTCAACCGTCTGGTCAACCGTCTTAGCAACCGTGTGCTCCTATTACTCCTAGGGATGTAAAATACTATGAATTTTCATTACCGACCACCGAAACTCATTAACCGGTTGAAACCGGTTAACCGCGTAGTTTAAAATATTCCACCTTCTTTGAAATAACAGCCATTTCCAGCTGCGTACTTCTCCACAACAGCTTCGGAACATTTGCGCACAGAGAACTGCATTTTTAATCTGCCCATTATTCTGTGGTTAACGGGTTAAAGCATTTTTAAACAGAATTTGGCTTCACATGGTCAGAGCAGTGAGTTCGGGCGGCGTCTCACTGGTCTCCGCTAAAGTTTAAATACAGTGATGAGTGTGGAGCTGATGCAGAGGACCAGCAGCACACACATGGTCCGTGTGTGTGTGTGTGTGTGTGTGTGTGTGTGTGTGTGTGTGTGTGTGTGTGTGTGTGTGTGTGTGTGTGTGTGTGTGTGTGTGTGTGTGTGTGTGTGTGTGTGTGTGTGTGTGTGTGTGTGTGTGTGTGTGTGTGTGTGTGTGTGTGTGTGTGTGTGTGTGTGTGTGCGTGCATGTGGCGCGTGCGGTGTGAGAGTCGTCCCAGAGTTTTCTGATACATGGTCGCACACAGCTGGATACAGACCCGCTCGTCACACCGTGTGAGTAGGGCTTAAAACAGCGTTATGAAGAGACCTCCCCTTTTCTCTTTGACCGGTTACCGCTGTGACGGTTAACGCTCTGACGGTTAACGCTCTGACGGTTACCGCTGTGACGGTTAACGCTCTGACGGTTAACGCTCTGACGGTTAACGCTCTGACGGTTAACGCTCTGACGGTTAACGCTCTGACGGTTAACGCTCTGACGGTTAGCGCTCTGACGGTTAACGCTCTGACGGTTAGCGCTCTGACGGTTAACGCTCTGACGGTTAGCGCTCTGACGGTTAACGCTCTGACGGTTAACGCTCTGACGGTTAGCGCTCTGACGGTTAACGCTCTGACGGTTAGCGCTCTGACGGTTAGCGCTCTGACGGTTAACGCTCTGACGGCGATAGAGGAAGAGAACATGGTCCACTCAGACTCCATGTCCCCCTCCTCCGCCGGGACCTGGGAGAAACTCTCCCGGAGGTGTGAGTTGAAAGTCCGTCTGACAGGGGGCTCAGCGAGACGTTCCCAGCAGACCCTCACTATACGCTTGGGTCTGCCAGGTCTGACCGGCTTCTTCCCCTGCCAGCGGATCCAACTCACGACCAGGTGATGATCGGTTGACAGCTCCGCCCCTCTCTTTACCCAAGTGTCCGAGACACGCGGTCGAAGGTCAGATGATACGACAACAAAGTCAAGTGTCACTGGCGTCCCCCACATGGGCGTTGAAGTCCCCCAGGAGAATAACGGAGTCCCCGGGCGGTGCACTGTCCAGTACCCCTCCCAAGGACTCCAAGAAGGCCGAGTACTCTGCACTGCTGTTAGGCCTGTAGGCCGTCACAACAATGAGAGACTTGTACCCCACCCGGAGGCGGAGGGACGCGACCCTCTCATTCACCGGGGAGAACTCCAACACGTGGCGGCTGAGATGGGGGGCAATGAGTATGGCCACCCCAGCTCGCCGCCTCTCCCCGCGGGAAACACCAGAAAAGTGGAGCGTCCAACCCCTCTCAAGGAGTTGGGTTCCAGAGCCCAAGCTGTGTGTGTAGGTGAGGCCGACTATCTCTAGTCGGTATCGCTCAACCTCCCCCACAAGCTCGGGCTCCTTCCCCCCCAGTGAGGTGACGTTCCACGTCCCAAGAGCCAGATGTTGCGCGTGCGGACTGGGTCGCCGAGGTCTCCGCCTTCGACCGCTGCCCAGTCCTCTCTGCACCGAGCCGCCACGGACCCCTCTGCAGGAGGTGGGCCCACAGGAGGGACTGTATATACACGTACTGTATATACACGTACTGTATATACACACGTACTGTATATACACGTACTATATATACACGTACTGTATATACACACGTACTGTATATACACGTACTGTATATACACGTACTGTATATACACACGTACTGTATATACACTTACTGTATATACACGTACTGTATATACACGTACTGTATATACACACACGTACTGTATACACACGTACTGTATATACACACACGTACTGTATATACACACGTACTGTATATACACACGTACTGTATATACACACGTACTGTTTATACATGTACTGTATACACACGTACTGTATATATACACACACGTGTACTGTATATATACAGTATTCCCACTGAAAGATCAAGGCTATGCTCACACTCAAAGAGCAGCCGTCCTCCTGTGGACTCACCACCTGCAGAGGGTCAGTGAGGGGCTGGTGCTATGAGACTTGGCATCTCTGACTGCCACCCCCCTGACCCAGAAATGGATTAAAGGGTAGAAAATGGATGGATGGATGGTGTACTGTATATACACACATGTACTGTATATACACACATGTACTGTATATACACACATGTACTGTATATACACATAACTACAAACACATTATTATTAATTATGACAATTATTAAATATTATTATTTTATAAATATTACTATTTTTGATTTTTACCAAGTTTATTTTTGTGCGATGTATTTTTTCAGAGCATTTTTTATGTTTGTTTAAATTGATGAAGTACACAGAAGTATACAGAAGTACACAGAAGTATAGAGAAGTATACAGAAGTATACGCAAGTACACAGAAGTACACAGAGTCTGTGTCTATGTGTGTCTGTGTGTGTCTCTGTGTGTGTCTGTGTGTGTCTGTGTGTGTGTGTGTGTCTGTGTGTGTGTCTGTGTGTCTCTGTGTGTGTCTGTGTGTGTGTCTCTGTGTGTGTCTGTGTGTCTCTGTGTGTGTCTGTGTGTGTGTCTCTGTGTGTGTCTGTGTGTGTGTCTGTGTCTCTGTGTGTGTGTGTGTGTCTGTGTGTGTGTGTGTGTCTGTGTGTGTGTCTCTGTGTGTCTGTGTGTGTCTGTGTGTGTCTGTGTGTCTCTGTGTGTCTGTGTGTCTCTGTGTGTCTGTGTGTGTCTGTGTGTGTCTGTGTGTGTGTCTGTGTGTGTGTCTCTGTGTGTGTCTCTGTGTGTGTCTGTGTGTGTAAAAAAAGTGTGAGGTGTGTACAGAAGTATACAGAAGTACACAGAAGTACACAGAAGTATAGAGAAGTATACACAAGTATACACAAGTACACAGAAGTATACAGAGTCTGTGTCTGTGTGTCTCTGTGTGTGTCTGTGTGTCTCTGTGTGTGTCTGTGTGTCTCTGTGTGTGTCTGTGTGTGTCTGTGTGTCTCTGTGTGTCTCTGTGTGTGTCTGTGTGTGTGTCTGTGTGTGTGTCTCTGTGTGTGTCTCTGTGTGTGTCTGTGTGTGTAAAAAAAGTGTGAGGTGTGTACAGAAGTATACAGAAGTACACAGAAGTACACAGAAGTATAGAGAAGTATACACAAGTATACACAAGTACACAGAAGTATACAGAGTCTGTGTCTGTGTGTCTCTGTGTGTGTCTGTGTGTCTCTGTGTGTGTCTGTGTGTCTCTGTGTGTGTCTGTGTGTGTCTGTGTGTCTCTGTGTGTCTCTGTGTGTGTCTGTGTGTGTCTGTGTGTGTAACTAAAGTGTGAGGTGTGATTTTCTGTTAAAAATAGACTCAGTGTCGCAACCGTCTGAAGACCTCCACTCTGTCCACAGAGGGTTTCTCTATAGGACTGACCAGTCTCTCTCTGGTCTCTCTCTGGTCTCTCTCTCTGGTCTCTCTCTGGTCTCTCTCTGGTCTCTCTCTGGTCTCTCTCTGGTCCCTCTCTCTGGTCTCTCCCTCTGGTCTCTCTCTGGTCTCTCTCTGGTCTCTCCCTCTGGTCTCTCTCTGGTCTCTCTCTGGTCCCTCTCTCTGGTCTCTCCCTCTGGTCTCTCTCTGGTCTCTCTCTGGTCCCTCTCTCTGGTCTCTCTCTCTGGTCTCTCTCTGGTCTCTCTCTCTGGTCTCTCTCTATGGTCTCT